TCATCATTCATAATAGTAATCATGTCATCATTTACATTTCAGTTAATATTATCATTCGCATCCATATTCATGTCATAATTCACATTAATAATATCACTCACAACACCATTCACATTAACAACATTATTAATAACAGCATACATGACCTCATTCATATTAGCAATATTATTAATATTATTCACCACTTCATTCCCACTAAAGTTAATATCATCAATCACATCAGCCTCCATGACATCACTCATAATAATAACATCATTCATAACAGCATTCATGACTTCATTCACACTGTAGTTAATATCATCATTCACCTCAGCATTGATCTCATCTCTCACATTAATAACATTACTAACATCATTCATGACTTCATTCACATCATAGTTAATATCATCATTCACATCAACATTTATGACATCATTTACATTAATAACATCATTAATAACAACATTTATGTTTTCATTTACATTATAGATTACATCATTCACATCAGCTTCCATATCATCATTCCTACCAATAACATCATTAGTAATAGCATTCAAGACTTCATTCACATTAAGGTTAATATCATCATTCACATGAATCTCCATATCATCATTCATACTAATATCATTAATAACAGCATTCATGAGTTTATTTACACTAAAATTAACATTATCATCCACATCTGTTTTTTTTGACATCATTCATATTAATAACATTATTATTTACAGCATTCATGAATTCATTTACATTAAAGTTAATATCATCATTCACATCTGCTTTTTTGTCATCATTCATATTAATAAAAACATTATGAACAGCATTCATGTATTCATTTACACCATAGTTTATATCCACATTGACATCATTATTGGTAGCAGGAAACAGTCATAAATCACCATTTTTAGTCTCGTTATCAATTGCTCGCTTATTTCGTTTAAAGACCCATTCACGTACCAGAATATCCTTCGGCATTATATCAGGGTCAGTCATCTTGTTACTGTTAATTGTCTCAACACAGACTCTGAAGCTAGAGGCATCATCATCATCCTTGTTAGAGACTTCATCCACAGATTTGTCTTTGCCAACCAAAACAGAATAGCAAGTTATCACCTTTATTCCGTTTGTTGATAGGAAATCCATGATATCACTTCTATTACAGACCTTGAGGTTGCTCATTAAGAACACCTTTTTTTTGACAAGGTTTTTATTGGCCTGCAATCTGCAGCCTTCATTAATCTTATTACCAATTATTTTTAATGGCGATTTCTTTCTGGATTTAAATTTTTTTCGTTTATCTGAAGTACAGGGCTCCGGCACAGACAAATCATTTTTTAAACAGCTCAGTGTGTTAATTATCTTAATGGGAGATTTGACAATTTCTGCATAGCTTGAAGGTTCTGAGCTGACCTTGCCAAACGAATGTTTTTTTTTCTCATCGTGACCTTCATGGACTGATCATCTATGCCATCCACAGGAAGGTTAGGGAATTCATGCAACACTGACATAGCATTGTCCTTGTTCACTTCCTTGCCTTTTTTAGCCAATGCTGTTGTTTGGATGACAAGAAATTTGGTTAAGATCTTCAGAAAACCTTTTAATACCAGATGTCAGCATATCAATCACAGTAATTGACCATTTGGTTACACTTAAAGAATCATCATTATCATTTGAGACTAGTTGGCAAGTCAACCATCCCAAGTGTTGTAACGCCTGTCCAGCTGCTTGGAGTAATTCACCTACTCCCTCCGTTGAAGACATTTAGTTCGTACTATTCCAATTTCGCAATACTCAAAGCAAAAGTTCAACAAATTCACTAAATTAAAAAGGTGAGAACGACACAATTCAAACTCGGCGACGTAAAATAATTTTCGGCGACTTAAAATGATTTTCGAGAAAATTTATTTACATCCATCCGCCATTAGACCAAAGACTATATGGTCTTGAATGACTTCAACCGATTGACGAAGCGCGTTTATTTGCCGCTCCACTGTCTTCATCCTGTTTTCTGTTGTATTCTGCATGTTCCTAACCTGTGGGGTAAACCTGTAGGATGAATTAACTAAGTTTTTTGAAACTTCAAGGCGCTGTGCAATTCGTAGTCATCAATATTTCTTGGTTCCCTTTCTTTAACTTTCAATTTTAAATCAGCGTCATTAAGAGCAAATAAAAAAATCTTTTGTTAAATGTACCGCCAACTTTGACTGTTCGCCCGGGTAAGCTAACGACATTAACTTTTTTACCGTTTGTGATAATTCCCGAAGCGACTCACCTGGCTTGCGTCGAAGAGCCTGCAACTCATATCTATACGACTCTTCGTGACCGCTCGTTCCACAACGGTTTTCTAGCTTCGTTACTAATTCTTGATAACCCTAGACCCGCTAAGTCCCAAAGAACTTCAACAGCTTTACCTGTCAACGAACATGACAGATACGCTTCCATGTCGTCCATACTCTATTGGTTATACATAGCACTTATCTCGAACTTCTTAAGAAAAGTTTTGAGCTACCCCGTGCCATCAAACTTGTCTGGTTTTAACAGTCCATGATGTCGGACCAACCTGTGATGTTTGGTGGTATTTATACTCGCCTGACAATGCAGTGATTTCCCGTGGTTGTCTAACGAAGGACTGTGTTCGACTTCTTCATCCACTTGAACCATTCTGCACCTATTCCTGGAATTTGAAACATTATTACGTTTACGAATAACAGAGAGCCTTTGTGCTGGCGTTGGCTTATAAACTGGTAAAACTTGTTCTGGCACGAATTCCGCAGACTTGAAAATGAAAATTTTCTGTGTGTCGTTAAACCCATTATCTGAGAATCCTGGAGAAGTTTTGCAAACAACTGCCTCCGGTACTGACTGTTGACCTAGCTGATACTTAAAATCTAAAATATTTTCAGTAGAACCAGCCCTGTCACCTAAAAAATTTGGGAAAGTTTCGTTACGGCTCCTATCGTGCCTGTCACCTAAAAATTTGGAATTAGGAATTTCATTTCGGTCACTGCCATACCTGTCACCTAAAAGTTTGAGAGAAACAATTTTAATTTTATCTGTGATATACTCGAAGGTAAATTTTGAATTGACGAAGGTAATCACCTTGACTCCTGCTGTACCTGTCACCTAAAACTTTTGAAGAAGAGACCCCACGTTGGGCGCCAATTGTGAACTTTTGCCGCGCGGCGAATTTTTTCCTTTGCTCGAATATCAACAACCGCCGCCGCCAGCCTAGGCAATCTCGCTTCTGGCCGGGACTCGCCTCTTTACAACTTTTTATTTCCGAGTCGGAAAATATGGGCCGGGCGGAAGAATTATTGCGCCCTGCTTGCTGGTCGGTTAATCCGGCCCTATTAACCGCTAGCAAGTTTCCTTCAAACATGTTTTAGTTTTTAAAAGTGACAAACAAAACCTAACTGAAATAATTTTATTAATAAACAAAAATAAAACAAACAAAATAATATTGACTTATAATATTCTTTAAATCAAATGTTTTTAAAATCAACGACAGAACTAAATTAAATATTTTTAGTAAACGAAAAATATTTTTACTAGCCGTAATAATGAATGAAATTCCAAAACAAGAAACGCCAGAGCAACCAAACATGCAGGAACCGACCGACCAATTACCAACCACAATAAACCCAAAAACTAATTCAAAACACTAATCCAAAACACTAACTTAAAACACTAACTTTTTTTTCTTTTTCTAACAATTGTCCAAAACGCTTATTTACTAAAATTTAAAAAAAACTGAGAAAACATTCATTCTCAAACATACTCACTATTTAATTAATACCATATTCTACCAACCTGCACACAAAACCAATTCATACGATATTTGACCAACCTGACCACTTCATACAACATGCGCGCCAACATACACACTTTCGCCATTCATTCTACATGCGCGCCAAAAAAACTTTACACATGTATAACAGAAACAGCAGTAGTCCCAACACCGACCCTTGGGGGACACCACACTTTATATTCTTAATTTTACACCAGGTTTTATTATAAAAATTCTGCTCAGTTCCATTTGAAAAGTATGATCTGAACCAGAGAGTACTGTCCCATTTACACCAAAACTTTCACATAACCGCCGCAGTAGAATATCATGATCAACACAATCGAAAGCTGCACTCGTATCTAGGAAAGCAACCAGCGATGTATATTGTTTATCCATTGCTGCGCACACAATTGATCATACATGTAACAAGGCCGTTTCAGTTGAATGACATTTTTTGTATCCCGACAGATTAATATGTTTAATATGTAACAAATTATTTTTAGACAAATGGTTTAACAACTCTTTATCGACAATTCTTTCATTATCTTAGATATGAAACGAAGATTTTAAATTGGCCTATAATTAGTAATATCATTGACATCGTGATCTATTCATTTAAGAAGTGGAAAACCATTGCATGTCTGCAAGATGCAGCAACAGTGACAATGGTCAAACACATGTTGATGAGAATTGTTATAAATTTTGAAAACAAACCAATGTATTTTTCAAAGAAATACGTAGGCAGACAATCAAGTATACATGTTTTTGTTGGACAATTTAAAGTTATCATTTTAATTTCTTCTTCACTATATTTTGGAAAGGTTATCTCAATTTTTTTCTCAAGAAGAGATGATTTGTTACCAGCCGTTGCATCTCGAACTCTTTCAATGTTATCTTCAAAAAACTTCATAAAACCATCACTAGTGTGCACCGTTTCTGTCTTATCAATATTGTCAACAAAGTCTTTGCAAAGTAGTTTATTTAGTGCATTCCATAATTTTTTTGGCCTGTTTCTATTCTCATCGACTAAATTTGACCAAAAACAGTTTTTTTAGCCAAAAGCAATTTTTTTGATTTCTGCGCACTAATCCATTTATTATATATTATTGTTTTGGGTATTGCTAGATGGTTAATTTGGGAAGTGGCAAATGGCTTGTGGTTTGGCTTGATTTGTTGCGATTGTTGTTTAATATGATTTAATGTTAATTAGGTTAGTAAACGTCATTGACACCTAAGATACGATAATTGATTGCTATATTGATAAATTGATTGCTCGATTGATTGCTTAATTGCTTGATTTGAGGGAAGATTTGATTGATGGTTTGATTGGTGTTGATTGTTATGATGATGAGTTAAACATCATTTGCTTAATTTGTTACAAAATCCGAAGATATTGAATTATTTGCGTTAAGAGTACCAAAAAAACGAAATGTTGTTCCAAACGAGATTTTATGAGTAAAGTTGTCTTGGAAGTAAGTTAAGTAAATTTTTAGACATAGTAAATAATAATAAAGTAGTTGTATATGCTACCAGTTAAAACATGAATCTTTATACTGAATCGTCTGCATTTTGTCACGTTTCCTTAGTTAATTAATTTGTAGTTTATTTTTTTAGGTCGTAAATATTTATAGTTTTTTCACAGCTAAATTTTTGAGTTTTAATTGAAGAATTTTGGTTTTCAAGGTGAATCTAACGTGCTAAAGCTATTTATATATATTCCTTCATCAAGAAGCAATTTTAAAGAGCGAGAAGCTATTCGCGAAAGCTGGTGGTCCCATATACAACGAAACTCTAGTCTAAATGATAGGTATGTATATTATTCAATTTGAGTTATCTCACATAATAATTTGACGTTTGACAGAGCTGCATTTTAAAGAGAAAATTTTTTTTCTTGCAATTATTAATTTGAAATTAATCATAGAATTACCACCAATGATTTTAATTTAATAAACATTTATATTGTACAAATTTTTGAAGTAAGTAGTAATCTCATCACTAAAAATTAAACCCTCCTGCTCCTAACCAATTCAAACCTTTAAAACCCTTTTCAATCGACATAAACGTTTGCTTGATCATCAAATAATTTTGTCGTTTGGTAATATCTTTAAATAACATATTTATAGAACTGTTGCATTGAAGTTTGTTTTGGGAACGAGGGATTGTTTAATACCTAAAGATTACAAAGTTGATCCATGGGGTTGTGACGAATGGAAGTTTCCAAATCTTCATGATGGTCAGTGGTTCTTCCTCCTTTCGAGTCACTGAATTTTGTAATACAACTTTAATGATTCATTTAAAATTTGTGATGCACGATTGCTGTCTTTATAGTGAAAGAGAAGCAAGTTGTCTTCAGACAGATAGTTTGAATTAGATCAAATTAGTTCGTTAATCAGTTAGTTATAATATTTTCAGTCGCTCAACATTGATGAATGTACGTTAAATTAGTTTAAAATGATTTTCAATCTTTTCAAACAATGTTTTCATATTCTTTGGAGCAACATTGGCAAAATACCATTTAAGTATTGATAGTTAGTCATATATTTCTGCCGATACAGAGAATGGGGCCGTTAAAATTGCCTACCTTTTTTGCGGTCTGATTGACTAAACGTGTTCACGAGATGGAATAATTTCACAATTTCTAAGATAATTTTTTTGTTTTTGTCCGCATGAAAAATTTGTGTATTGTTTGGTTTAATCAATTTATTTATTTTAAATGAAGTTTATAAGAAGTTATTAAACTAATTAATTGGTGGTTTTTTTTTAACTTAGTCAACAACCTAACAAAGAAAGCCATTGAAACAGCTGAATACTCATTGAACCGATCTGCTGCTGCCAAGGAGAATGATTACGATGATTTTGTGGAGGATCACGTTTATGGAATCCAAACCGTCACATTCATAGTTAATTTGAGAGCATTTCAAATTTTTAAATCTAAAGCATAGATAATGATCTAAAGTTGATATCTCAACTAGTCAGTATGTTAAATGTTTCCTGTTGAAACATGATTGTCAATGTATAACTTACAATTGAATGGAAAAGTTTTTTCAAATAAATTTGAAGAGGAAAGTTTCGCCTGGCCCAACATAATTTGACATGGCCGTTTTTTTTTCTATTTGAATAATTTTGATCATTCGTATTAAATATTTGTGATAATGAATGTTCTCATTAGCTATTAATTGACTATTTTTGCTAAATGTTGATGAAGAATAATATTTTTTTCAAATCTTCTTGTGATGAATTTCAAATAGTTCAGTTTCTTAGCATACTGTTCTTCAGTTATTTTTATATAACGTAAACAACAACACACGTTTAGACGACATTTTTCCCGAGATCGGGGGTTGCCGTTTGGCTACCTATGATGAAACCGAAATACCCCTCGACGCCATTCACATCTGTCACTCGCCTCAGTATCACGCAACTCCGCTTTTACTCTGTTCTTCTCCACCTGCTCTCCATCCCAATCACGGACGACCCCTTCCTATCACTCCTTCAACCTCGAACTCCAACGCTCGCCTAATCCCGACCCTTTCATCCCTTCTCAACACATGTCCATTTTACTATTTTACCTATCACTCGCTCCCCACCTTCCCCACTCACCATTACCTTCGTCTTACCAATATTAACTTTTAACCCTTTTTTTTCGATAACTGCAATTCTTCCATGTTATCAGCCATCAAGACTAAATCATCTGCATACAAAATCTCAAATAACAACCCCTCCATTATGTTTCCACACACAACATCCATCACGATTGCAAACAAAAACGGTGATAACACTGATCCTGGATGCACTCCTACCTTAACACTAAAAGCGTCCGACATCCCCCTTCCGACCCTCACCTTTGTCTTCGCCCCTTCATACAGCTGCATCACAGCTTTAACGATTCTCTCATTCACTCCTTTCTTCCTCAACGCCCATTCAATGACCTTCCTCGGTACTCGATCAAAAGCCTTATCTAGATCCACAAAACACATGTACAATCTTCGTTTCTTCTTTCTGTAATTCTCCTGCAACATTCTTACTATGAACAACGCATCCACCGTTCCCCTACCAGGCATAAACCCACACCGCATTTCATTAACTGTCACCATATTTCTCAACCTCCTCTCTAGCACCCTCTCCAAATTCCTATCACCCCACTCGCCTTTATATGTTCCGCCGCCACTTCCGAAACCCCTGTCGCCTTACCTAGTTTCATTTCTGTAACTGCTTTCTCTACTTCCTCCATCGTCACCTTCTCTATAAGTCCGTGTGTGACCGCGGATTTCACATCTCCATCCCACTCATTTTTTTCATTCATCAACCTTTCCATATGGGCTTTTCACACCTGAGCTTTTTCCTTTTCATCTATGCACAACTTGCCAGATCATCCCAAACATATCCATTCTCTATAACATCTTTCCTATCCCTCATTGACTGCTTTGCTACTTTGAACATTTTCCTCGAACTCACATCAAATTCCATTTCCCTCATTAACCTATCTGATGCTTTCGTCATTACAGTTGCATTACTGTCCGTTTTGCAACCTTCTTAGCCTTCCTATACTCAAGCTCCGCTTCCCCCGTCATGTCCCTTCTCCACACCCTAAACCTCTCCTTGACCTCCAAAACCTTTCTTATATCTTCATCCCACCACCACGTCTCACCATGCCTACACTTTCCTTTTGTCCGTCCACATACTTTATCTGTCGTAGTCAACACACAGTTCCTATATCTCTCCCAAACATCTTCATTTTTATAAACATTTTTATATAACGTAATTGTTATATAAAATTAAAGTAAATTTGTTATATATTTTTCCTGCTATGTTCCATTTCAAGTTATCAGTGAGTATTTTTTATGTTGATGTCGAACGATCCAACTTTTTTCATGCAACCAGGTTCATCACCCTGTTTTGCTGACAAAATTAGGAGTGCATGAAGCTTGTCGATCAGTGAGTTCATCTGTGAAGTTGTCTGAAGCCACTACGAAGGTTCACTTCGTTTACGAAAATTTGCAAACATAAACTTTCCTGCTTAAATTGCTTTAGAATTTCGTCATTCTGTTTGAACCAATTTTTTAAAACTGTTGGAGGCCGTTCATAAAATCATCATTTTTAATGCGTCTTCATCTTCATTTATTTTTATTAATGGATTCGTGTTAATGCCTCAGTTTGAAATGTCTTAACTATCGGTTTAAGCGACAACAATACGCAAAATAAAAAATTTGGACTCAGGTTATCATCATATTTTTATTTTATTCTTTTAAATTTAGAAAGAAATTGTCAAACTGTCATTCAAAAGTAAAGCGTTGACGCTACATACTCTTGGATTGAACAACACTTTTAAGTTTAAAAAGCTGCAGGACCCCCTCATATTGCCCAAGGTTCGTTCAAGGTTTTAAAGTGATATTTCATAATATTCCTACGTTATTTACATATTATTTCAAAAAGCAAAACTCTACAAAAAATATTGTGCACTGTTTTTTTTTATAAATCTTTTAAATATATTATATTTGCAGTGTTAAAACCAAACTATTGTAGCATTTTGCAAATTTACTCATCATTCTTATATTACTTATAAATAAATTCCTTTTCTCCAATGCACGTTATTGCTTTAAACATTTTTTTATTTTTCAAAATTTATTTAAAACATTTTGGTCTACTTTTATATCATCATTCTAAAGTACCATTTAACATTAATAATAATTTATGTTTTTATTCTAATGCATATAAATCAACATCTTTCTTTTAATTTACTGACAATGTTTATGTCAACATCATTCAGTTTTTGAAGAGAATTTTATGAATTTGCATATTTTCTCGGTGACGGCGTTTTAAGCGTTTTTTCTCAAAAGTGCGGTTTGAGGTTACAGAAATGGCAATGCACTTTCTAGTTAGCAGCAAATGGCCATCAGTGAGTGAAAATTACTTATTATTGAGGAAGTTATCCTTACGAAGAGTTCTTTTTACAGCGCTCATGCTAATTAAAAATAAACGTTACAAAACGTAAGCAAAACGTGGGGTGAGCCTCACTACTGAGTGTTCCATAAGATGTGTGTACGCCATTGCATGCTTCAATTCGCTTTTTCACCTTTAGGTATTTTCCCTCTTTTATTTCGATTAAACTTTTAAGGATTCTTTTCTAAAAATGGTTTATGTTTTGTTATTTGTTCCCAACTAAAAAATTGTTAGCAATTAAGTGTTCTTATTATTTTGTTAATGTGTTTGTTGGTCTAAAGAATTATGCGTACAAATACTAGAACAAATTACAACACCCGAAAATTTTAGCAACGTTTTTTTCCAAATTATGTAAATTTGTATTTTTTTATGAAGGGTTTCAGAGGGGAGATGGTTGTGGAGAACGTTGAATCAGGAAGCGGTCGATGTGAATTTTACCGATGGAACTTTCCTGTGCAAACATTTCCACAATCTCACAGTGTTATCCAGTTTGTTGAGGTCTGCATTCAAAATTTACATGACTTTCAAAATTGAATGAAACTTCACTAAATATTTATACTTTATTATTATTATTATAATTAATATTATTATTACTACTACTTCTTCATTTTCGTGCCTTATCCTTTCAGAACATTGGCGACCATCGACCTCCACAAAACCCGATATTTAACACTTTGTAGTAGTTGAATTGTGGTGATATTCAACAAATGACACAAGAACTTCTCGAATGTAATTCGTTGTTGACCGCGATCTCTTCTCCCTGCAATTTTTTCAGTATTTGTTAGATTTTCCATTCCTTACTTTCGCATGATGTGACCAAAAAACTTTAACTGCCCTCGTCGGATTATCTGTAGTAATTTCCTCTTTTCATAACCGGACTGTTTTAATACATTCTCATTGGAAGTATGAGAGGTCCAACTAATTTTCATAATTCTTCTCAAAAACCACATCTCAGCAGCGTTAATCTTTTTTCCATTTCTTTACTACTATTACTACTATTTTTCTAACAGTTAACAAATTCGAATCACGTAGGTATTTTGGGCGATCGTTTTATACTTTATGACAGAAAACAGAAAAATTTCTGGATTCGATTTTCAATTGATTCAACCAAAGAGTTCAATTCATTGGAACGCAGATAAACTGAATCTGGTACTCGAGGTTCCTTGTTTTTTGATGCATTTAAAAATCAGTAGTGACTACTGATTCCGTCCTCAAATGTTGGAAACAAATGTTTCCTGGTCGTGAACCGGTGAAGTCGTTTTAGAATCAGAAATCAAATCTGTTAAATCTGAAACTGAACACACCTGAAATAACTAGCAGCACAATTTTGATTTGACTGTTTTTAGAGACAATCGCTCTAATCCACCTGGGTTTTATTATCAGACTTTGGTGTTTTTCTATAGTTTCTTCCAAACTTGTGGACTGTCGGTATTTGTTACCGCAACATCATATAACATTTTTTTCATTGTCTGACTTTATTATTATCGTGGCCAACAATCCAATATGTAATGAACTTTTGAGAAACTTTTAGAAAGCGATTATATATGTTCACGTTCACTTAATAAGAAAAAAATAATGATATTATTATTATTATTTATATTACAGCCGAGTATGCAGCCGCATGAAACATACAAAAATGTTGAGAAATGGAACTCAAGACCCATACATCTAGTAAACTTTGCCTTTAAAATTTTTGGTTAGTTGGTCAATTTTTCATATATTTTTTTCATTTAACACTTATGCATTTTAGTTTTATTATTTACATGAAAAATAATTTACAGAAATTTGTAATTCTATTTTGCCTGTTATTATTAAAACACAACAACACACACACGTTTAGACGACATTTTCCCTGAGATCGGGGGTTGCCGTTTGGCTACCTATGATGAAACCGAAATACCCCTCGACGCCATTCACATCTGTCACTCGCCTCAGTATCACGCAACCCCGCTTTCACCCTGTCCTTCTCCACCTGCTCTCTCCATCCCAATCGCGGACGACCCCTTCCTACCACTCCTTCAACCTCGAACTCCAACGCTCGCCTAATCCCGACCCTTTCATCCCTTCTCAACACATGTCCATACCACCGCAATCTCGATCTCCTTATCAATGTCATAATGTCCTCATTCAGTCCCATCATTGACATCATCTCTGTACTACTCCTCCTATCCTTCATTTAACCCCACACATCATCCTCACCATAGCTCTTTCAGCCCTCTGCAGTACACTTTCCTCCTCTCTCCTCAACACCCAAGTTTCACCACCATATACCATCGCTGCTTTCACACATGCTTTATATACCCTCCCTTTCATCTTCACTGACCATTTCTTTCCACACAATACCCCACCCAGTTCCCTAAATTTCATCCATCCTACACGAACTCTAGCCGTAACTGCGCTCAAACATCCTCCATCCGCGTTCAGCTTATCCCCTAAGTAAACAAAGCTTTCCACTCTTTCAATACCACCACTCAGCCCCGTCCTTGCGTCCGTCCTATTAATCACACCGGGAACACATTTCTTACATTTGAACGTGCCTTCCACCTTTTTCAGTGCCCCCCTCACACCACTACATCTCTTATGCACCCATTTCTGACATCCTATACACAATACCGAGTTAGCCTTCACTCTCCTGTCACATAGCCCACAGGGATCTATTTTACTTATCACTCGCTCCCCACCTTCCCCACTCACCATTACTTTCGTCTTACCAATATTAACTTTTAACTCTTTCTTTTCAATAACACTTCTCCATCTGTCAAATTTTAACTGCAATTCTTCCATGCTATCAGCCATCAAGACTAAATCATCTGCATACAAAATCTCAAATAACAACCCCTCCATTATGTTTCCACACACAACATCCATCACAATTGCAAACAGAAACGGTGATAACACTGATCCTTGATGCACTCCTACCTTAACACTAAAAACGTCCGACATCCCCCTTCCAACCCTCACCTTTGTCTTTGCCCCTTCATACAGCTGCATCACAGCTTTAACATGTCTCTCATTCACTCCTTTCTTCCTCAACGCCCATTCAATGACCTTCCTCGGTACTCTATCAAAAGCCTTTTCTAGATCCACAAAACACATGTACAATCTTCGTTTCTTCTTTCTATAATTCTCCTGCAACATTCTCACCATGAACAACGCATTATTAAAATTGGTCTTGTTATTTGTTCTTATTTTTTTCCGTTATTCTAAATAGCCGTTCATATTTTTAACATTCTGTCTCACTTTTTTCAGTTTTTCCGTTCCTTTTTACTCTAGTATATAGCGTTATAGTTTATGATCTGCAGTTCAACCAACTTTTTTCGCTTTCGTAAATTAATGTATTGTTCTGAATTAGTATTTTGCATAATGTCGGAATTTGTTGAGGGGTTGGAGTCGTATAATTTTCATCCGACTTCGGATTATGTTATGAATTTAAAAAAATTTTATTCTGAAATTTGTTAAGACCGTGTTTTTTGTATGATTGAGATGTCAATTATTATTTACCAACCCACTATATGCCCGTTTCTATTTGCCTGCGACAATATTCAACACACTCCACAGCAATTGTTGGACGGCTAAAATGGCTAGTAGGATTTTAGATGAAGATTTTAACCTTTCTTGTTTTTCTCTCTTTTTTCACATTCCATTGCTTAACCTAATCAATTTTCTCTGCAAGTTTGGTCTTAGTTTTTTTATGCAATTTAGTTCTGTCGCGTATTAGCTTCTTACTGACTTTACCGATTGATAATCTTTTTTTTGGTTTTCGCAAACTCTGACCTTTTAGCTCACTTCTTTTTTGGCTTCATTTCCTTATAAGTTATATATTTTCATGAAATTTCTCTTTTTTTCACTGTCATTTTAATTTTTCTTCCAACCTTTCTATACTTCTATATTACCCCATAAGTTTTCATGGCACTGCGCTTATTCTTTTTTTTATTATTTGTTTTATTTGTTGCATCATTCCTTATTCCTCTTTCAATCGTTTTCTTCAGTCTTCTTTGTGGCTTATTCACATTACTTTTTAAAAAATCGGACTCAGACAGACGCAGAATCCTTATGCTGATATGTTTCTAGGTAACCGAGGTTCAAATATGTTTACTCGTCGATGATAAAACGATAATTTTTATTTAGAAATCTTTATTTTTTCTCTACAGTTTGCTTATTTCACGTTTAACATTTGCTTAGATACGGATCAGCTTATTGAGAAAATAAAAATAAAAGATGCTAAAGTGCTAGAAACTGCACACAATTCCAGCCTCCTTACTTCAAAACTGCATCAGGAGTTTGAAAAAAACGGCGACATGTTATTTGTTGATGTTGTTGATGTTTACCGGCATCTTCCTCTCAAGTTTTTATCCTTCGCACAATGGTTTGTAATTTTGAATTTTTGCATGTTCGAGTCAAATTCATTTAATTGTTTACTGCGCGCCTTTTTACATATTTTTACTTTTTGTATTTTGTAATATTTTGTAATAACTTGTAATATTTTGTAAAATAATTTGTATATTTTGTAATGTAATAATTTTGTAATAAAATTGAATTATTGATTCAATAATTCAAAAATCAAATTTATCACGGAAAAGTTGGACCACAAAATATTTCCATTCCTCTCATCTTTCGACTTCTAGTACAAAGCATCAAAATCTGCTGAGGTATCATATTATAATTAGAAATAAGTTTGGATAAAAACATCAACGTTTTGTGAGGAAAAGGAAGTTGAAGTCTTTAAATAAAATCCCACTACACATTTAAACCGTTTAAGCTGCAACTGATTCGTACTTACGGTTCTGGCTCGATGGTTGGCCTCCACTTATTCCTACAATAAACTACACTGTCCGAATCTTTAAGAAGAATAATTGCCCAACTTTAATCCATGCATTGCTTGATCTTTAACATTTACAAATCCATCTAAAATAAATAACAACTCCCACATTATTTACCCTTCCTGTGTCACACCTCTTCAACCGCCCCAACGACTTCAATCAATCAATGATCCTCCTTTGTCCATCGGGGGACCGTCGAGGCCGATGGTGTACATCTAAGCATGCTTTTTACATTTATTTTTTCTTTTTTTCTTTCCAAAAACCTTTTCTATCTTTGGCCAGTTTTATTGAATTCAGAATAAAACTCCAATTTTCTTTCTCTGACTTTGTCGTATACACTTTTAAAAACCAACGACTTCACTCACCTCAAGACAGAAGACCTCTCGTACAATTCGGTCGATGTTGCAGTTTTGTAACAATCATTTTGCTTTGTTTTTTATCTATTATAATTATTTTTATTTGAAATTTTATAGAGTTATTTGTTCTCTAGTTTTTTCAGTATTTCTCTGTAGAAACATTACCCATATATTTCACTACATGGCTTTATAAGTAGATTCATTTTTCATCTAAATATTTTTTGTAGAAAAAAGTATTTGTGCAAATGTTATTACTTTTGCTCTTTGCGTTCTTTTTAAATTAATTTTTTGACAATTTTTAGGACCATTAACAATGTAAAGTTTGAGTTTTTGTTGAAAACTGACGACGATTGCTATTTGGACGTTGAAAAGATTTTAAGAAAGTTGAACGAATTGAATATCAACCAGAGTCTATTGTTTGGGAGGTTAATTTATCTCATTAACAGCATGCTAACATTAGTTATTTTAATTTCTATTTAATAAGTTCTTTGTATATTGTGAATGTTTAATAGAACAATCTCAATAAAACTGGTTTAAATAAAATAGTAGTTTTTTCTTAGTGTGTTACTCAGAGGTGCAAACTTCACGCATAACAAATGTAAATACGCCTGAATCAAAGCTTAACCTCCATGCAATGAGTAATAGCCAAAATTATGTTGTTTTCGAGCCGAGTCAGGTCTTATTCACATTAACCATTGTACTATCTCGCACATGTATTGAATTTATTTATATAAGCTTGTAATTTGAACACATACAAATACCTGTGGAAGCATACATTTTTTTTTGGTTGACAAATGATTTTGATTTTGTTAAGTGTAAATCATTGGATGGTTGACCTGCTATGTGAAGTTTGTGTTTTGCAATATATTAAGCGCAGTACTTTTCAATGAATTAAAAGACTTTATTTTGTCTTTTTCCTTTCTTTTAAAAAACAATCTCGTGACCTCACAGCTTCTAAAGCGGATGCAGTGTATTTATAACACATAATGAATCAGTTTCACGCAACAGCCCAAATGCGGTTTGGCATGCTGATAATAAATTTGGTATCCAGTTGATTCACACGTTCATTAAAAAACTACTTAATTAAACGTTTAGTTGATTCAGTCTTCTAAGCTGACTGATTTTCGTCCACCAAACCCAAGTTCATTCCATAAGGGATCCTGTTATGATTTTAATCCGCTATAACTGCTATATCGCCAAATAACAACAAATTAGCCAACCTAATTAACCATTTAAATCAGTAGCTAACTAAATCACTAATGGAAACTAACCAGTTCATCTATTTCACAAACTTAATTGTCAAATAATCACTTAACCGCTTTTTTCATTAAAATTTTGCTATTTGTTATTCGTTTGTTAAATTGTTACCTTTTTCTTAACAACTACGCTTATTTATTGCTTAAAGGCTTATTCGTTTAAAACCTGACTGCGTGCTATCAGCTTTATTTTCAATAACAATAATAATTAAAAAGTACGATTATGCTTATTTTTGCATAATAAATATTTTATAAACAGATTTCGTCACAATTGGCCAGTGGAAAGATGGGGACGGTGGGCCGAACATTCGTACACTTCAGCTACGTATCCAAGGTTCCCCTGTGGTTCAGGATACGTCTTGTCAAGTGACTTAGTACACTGGATGGCTACCAACTACGAATATCTCAAAGCTTACCAGGTAATTTTCATTGCAAACCAAAATTATTTATACAATTAAAACCAAAATGTTTTTTTTGTAAGAATTTAATTGAAAGCCGAGGATATGTTTAACACATTTTGTTGATGCAAATTCATTTATTAATACTGTTAAATTTTGCATTTTGTTGATGCAAATTCATTTATTAATACTGTTAAATTTATAGTATATGGCTTTAAGAGTTGGTGGTGCAGCTAAAGTTTGTTTTAATGGGAATAGTAGCACCATTTTGTTGATTGGTAAGTCAATTGACGATGTGACTCATTTGTGGTGCAAACAATCAAACTCATTTTTGCCCAGTGATGTAGACTAGACTAAAAAAACTTTGTTAAATTTTTTTATTCAAATCGAAGAGTTGGTTTTTAATGAAGTTCATTTTGTACTAGCGCATTATGTTTTCGCTTGGAGCTTTGGTCTTTATTTTCTAATTTGCGATCAAATTATGGAGATTTAATTGGCCATCAAATTACGGTGGTTTAGAGAACTCGTTTGTAATTTCACACGTAGGGGTAAATTTTTCAGTGAAAGGAAATTTGAATCATGTTTTTAATAGACTTTTAACTTTCATGTTGATAGCTGTTGGTATCTATACAGATTGCACAAAAAACAAGCTGTAGATATCTTAAATGTCATTGATTGTTTGTTAAGCAGATTTTCATGCTGATTCCAAATTTGGAACCCGTTTTGTTCTATTACACAAATTGCTAAGATATTGTCAAATTTATATATTTAGTCTGCTTGGGGAAGAAGACTGTGGACATGATCATTTTATTAAAAGTTCTATTTGTTGTTGTGAGTGTATTTTTATAATCCCCTATATCTGTTTATGTAAATTACATAAGAATTTTCTATCAATATATATATATATGTAATATATAAGAATGTTTGACCAAGATGAACAAAATCAAAACTTAAACCTAGTCACCGTTAGACTTTCTTTATGGCGAAGGTCGTACATTAAAAGTCAGACTATAATATGATTTAAATGATATGATAAATTATGATATATGATACGGTGTGGTATGGTACGATACGATATGTGATGGGATATGATATAATACGGTACGATACGATATGACATGATATATGCATTCGCCGATGGACCGCACCATAACGACAGTCGAGCTGGTAGATCAGCACTGGGGCTTGGGGTATTCCTGGTTCTTCTGAAAACCGGGAAAACAAAGCACAGAACTGGTAGTTCCGGGAATATACAATTTAAACTACTTCGTTGAAACACTCAACTAACAGATTTATCGCTTTATGGCTGATTGGAATAAATTAATAATTTTGTTAATTTGCCCATTAATTTAAAAATTTTTGCGTTTATTTTCTTAGCTTAGCATTCAATATATTACACAGGGAGAGGATGTTTCCATCGGCATTTGGTTGAGTGCTGTTAACCACGTGGTGGTCGATGTGAGTTTGTTTTTTTTTAATTTGTAAAAAGTTTTGGTTTCATGATGTCTGCTAGTAATTTTCAGTTTTTTTACCAAGCAAACATTAAACAATTTTACTGGATACAAGAAATGCAATCCTAACACTTTATCAAATGTTTCAATTTGATTTTCTTAACATTTATTAATGTTAATTAGCTCTGTTCGTTTTACACATTAGGCAGCCCAAATAGATGAAAGCTCCATTGGAATTTTGCTGGGAGTTGTTTTTAAGCATTTGTTCGGCCGTTTTATCAATTCTTTATCAGATATACATTATCTGGAGTCTTTCAGCAATAAATGATTCATTTTCAGTAATTATAATTTTTGTAACCATAATATTTTTATATTTATTAGGAGCCGTTGTGGCAGTGCGAGAACGAATGTTTGTCTGACATGTACTCGATGCCTGACCTCCAAACTGAACAGTTGCATAAGCATTGGGAGAACAAAATTAACTGCGGAGATCCGTGTGGCTGCGGCTGACTGTTTTATCTTTCATATTTTCTTGTTCAAGTTTATTTATAAAACGTTGGTAGTTTTTTTTATAACGAAAATAAAATTATTTATCAAAGAGCAATAAATAGTAATTCTATAACTGCCGAGAAGGATATTTTTTGAAATTTTCGTAGACCTGCAATCTATGGTTAAGGTTGGTGTGCCCTGTCATAAGCAGGTACTGTGTGTTTGTTCTTGTGTCCGTGTATGCGTGTGTTTCTGTATGTGCGTGTGTGTGTGTATACGTGTGTGGCGTAAAAATTTGCACTCATTATGAAACTTCCCGATTCAAATGCTCACACATATAACAAACAAATAATAAGTTAATGCATAAAAAAAATTGGCGAACAACTGTGTTATTTAGAGATGGCAATTATAGAGATGTAAAAATTATTCCTCAGTGATACACTCCAACAAATTTGAAATATGTGAAAAGTAGTTTAATGTTAATTGAATATTGCCATTTTAAAATTTTTAATCATAATGAACTGTGAAGAAAACTTTCTTTTACAAATTAAATTTTATAAATAAAAGCCTGTGAACCGTAAAAATATATTTTATTATGAATGAGACACGATGAAAGAGAATATGTTACAACATTCTTAAACCTGATTTAGATTAGGTATTGTATTCACTTTTTTTGTATTAACTGTCGGAAAAACGCCAATTATTTTTATTGTATATTTTTATTAATTTACAATGTTTTTTTGATGTTTAAAGTATTCGTTCAACAATTTTAAAACGCTCTGTTGAAATCTTTAAAATTTATAATAAAGTTTTAAATTCCATGGGTTTTAAATTCCATGGGTCTTCCTAATTCTACGTTATACTAAAGCTTTTAACTCTGCTGCTCTCCTAGTTGCCCGGGCTTCCATCTTTTCTCATATATCTTCATATTTTGTTTTTTTACATTGGTTACTTATTAAATATAGAAAACAACTATAAAATATAGAAGTTAAAATTGGCACATTAATGCACAAGTTTCAATCTAAATTATTACCCAAGTGTTAGCCAGATATTTTAATTTGACCTAAACACCTCGGGCTACGATTATTTCGTTCTCACTTTTTCTTTATTCCTGTTAAACACTTTAGCTAAATCTGCTTTTGCTTCTTCTGGTTCTTTTTTCTGAAACTCTTTCTTCCTTCTCTACTACTCCATCGCTTACATGGTTCAAAGCAAATCTCGAGACCTATCTTTTGTTTGTAAAATTTATTGAGGGGCGCCGTTGAACATCGCGAAAACGACGCTTTAGAATTAGATTGATTAATTTTTTTTATTTCAGCATTTAATTAGAAACGAGGATTTCAGAATTATCAAGATTTGCGCATGGTGTTTTATTTTTACTTGTTTATTATTTTGCTTTGGCTAAGGCTATTTTAAAAAACTTTTTTTTCAAAATTTTGTCAATATTTGGGTTCACATGTCTTAATTAAAAAACGTTTTCTTGATTATTAATAAGTGGGACTCTTAAATACGTCAATGGTAAATGGTTACGATTTAACTGCTTTGTGCATTTGTGTCGTTTTAACGGCGCTTCAATATTACTTACAAATTGGTGTTTGGTCTTGTTTTGAACGTCCTCTGGTGTCTTTAACGGGGCTATGAGCATATGGCACTACTTTCCAATTTGTAAGTAATTTTTTCGAAACTAGCCACTTGGTGTATTTACGAGACTCGTGAACATGTTAAAGACATAAAGAAAAAATAAAAATTAAAGACATAAAATGAATAACACAACATTATTAGTGGGCTCAAACCAAAAGTCCATAAGCCCACATATAATAAATATCTATATAAAAATGTACAACAGATAACAAAAAAGAAAAAATAGCTAATAGCAAATTTCAATACGATGATTGTAATAAAAATGTCAACCGTGAATCTGAGGCCACTGCAGGCCCTTAGCCAGGTTTGTCTGAGTGGGGAGGGGCACATTTTTTCGGAGTGGGCAATTTTAACAGTAACTTCATTTTAAACTATATATTTTTTTTGCCAAATATTAGCAACAATAATAATCGTTAATAAAAATTATAAAAAATAAGTTTTATAAACATTTTGTTTTTTAGTTTGAAAAAGATTTATTACAATCAACTCTATTAGTTCATTCAGACCACAATGTATTTAACTGTACGTGAGTTTCAGATAAAGCTTGTTTGGTGTTGGTTTCATTTTTTGATTGAATAGTTTGCACAGATTATTTTACCCAGAGCACTACAAGAACGTGAACAAGTTTAAAAAATTTAATATACATTTCATCATCTAAGATAAATAAATAAAAATAACTTTATTTTGCAAATAGATGTATTAAAAATATTGTTTGTTAATAATCAGAAAAATGTTAAGTAAACGAGGGGCGGCAAAATTTTTCATGCCTAGAGCGCCAAATTCTTAAATCCGCCTCCGGACATTTTAACATCTAGAATCATGGATATATGGATTGGATATATATATCCACGTCTAGAACTGATGATAGATAATAATCATCCATAAGTTTATAGCGTCTCTTTTTGATTAAAATTTTTTTTCGAAAATTTGAAAAATACATTGTATTAAATGTTTCCTCCCATAACACGTTCTTTTAGATGATTCTCTTCCTTCAACTTCTAAACTTAAATGATTTGCCTGCCAACATTCGTCAACAACCAACCATCAAACTTTTCAGGAAACGATTAAAACACTTTTAATCCAGGCCTACGGAAACGTCAAAAGTCATTGATTTATCTAAGCGCTCCTGAAGCTATGCATAGGACGCGATATAAATTGATAATAATAACAAAACCTAAAATTTTCAAAGCTCAGAAATCACTATAAAATCAGAAATTGGTTATGGCAAAGACGGATTTTTGGTTTGCGATGAAAGAGGAAAATATTAAAGATTTTGTGAAAAATAGTAATGTAGTTGGCATCAAAATAAGTCAGCTTTCAATCAATCAGTCAATCGATCAATTAGTTTATAAAGCGCTATTTCCGCGATGTTCAACAGCGCTCCTAAATGAATTTTTCAAACAGATAGGTTTTGAGATCCGCTCTGAACTTCGTAAGTGATGGAGAAGTAGTCAGAGAAGGAAATAAAGAGTTCCAGAGAAAAGGGCCAGAAAAAGCAAGTGCAGATTTAGCAAAAAAGTGTTTAACACGAGTTAAGAAGAAATGAGAACAAGAAGACAATTGTAAATAGGGGCGTTTAGGTTCAATTAATATATCTGATAAGTACTAAGGAAATAATTTAGATTGAAACTTATACATAAATGTGCAAATTTTAAAAACTATTTTATATTTTATAGGTAGCCAGTACAAGAGAACAAGATATGGAGATATATGAGAAAAGAAAGAGACACGAGCAACTAGACGAGCAGCAGAGTTAAAAGCTTCACTTAAAAGATAGAGTTTAGAATCAAGAAGACCATAGTAGAGCGAGTTACACTAATCAATTCTAGATAAGACTAACGAGACTAACAAATATATATATATATATATATATATATATATATATATATAACATATATATATAGCAATCTCTATGTTATTTCTACGTTATTTCGTATCTCTTGAGTCAGGACACTTTCATTGAAACGTAGTCGAGCCCAGAAGATACAAAATGAAATAAAGTAGACTATAAATATGAGTAAAGGTAATACAGAGGTCGCTATGCCTAGCTGTAAGCGAAACCATGCTTACAAAGGCCTGCCAATCCGGTACAGGTCCAGACAGTCTACCAGCATGGTTTCTACTAATCATTGCACCATTCATCTCCAGCACTTTAAGTTCGATCTACAATCACTACTTAACGCATTTATTCATCTTATCACAATGGAAATCCAGCACAATTCATCCATTTCCTAAAATAAAACACTCATCATCACCAATAGATTATCACCCAATACCTATCACCCCCATACTTTCACGTATCCCAGAAAAATTCATCATTAGGTTATTCATCTATCCATCCATCCATCCATCCATCAAACCATTACTACAAGATCAGTTTGAATTTTGCCCTACAGGCTCATCTACATTTACCATCATCTCTCTTACTTATGTAATAGCATCTTCCCTTAAAAATAATAATTATGTTCATCTTATTGCTCTTGACTTTTCTAAAGCTTTTGACACTCTCAATCACTTCTCACTTTCAAATAAGTTAGCCTCTCTTCTTCTACTTGACAACATTTACAATATTATAATAATTTTTTTTAATAGGAGTCTTTCCACTTTCTATAGATCTACTCTTTCATCTACTCTACCTATTAATTCTAGTGTAGTTCAAGGTTCTGTCCTCGGACCATCTACCTTTATCATCAATGCTTCTACTCTCAAAACTTTTCAAATACGCTGACGACACCGACCTTATCATCCCATCATCTAACTCAAACACCATCCAATCAGAACTCGACTCATTAACCACATGGTCAAAACGATGCAAACTATCACCTAACCCCAATAAATCATTCTAACTCATCCTTCACAATAGCCTTAAGAAAATTACATTACCCCCAGAACACCCATCAATCACCCGCACAAATCAATTAAAAATATTAGGCATCACATTCACCTCTACACTTAATGTAGCACCTCATATCAATCACATCATCACAAAGGGTTTTCAAACAATTCACGCACTCAGAAACTCATCTATCTACCTGCATCATATCTATCCTACTGTCGCTAAAATTTTAAACACACTCGATTCAAGACTGTTCAAGAAAGTTGAAAAAACAACAACCATGTCTTCCATCCTCTACTACCACCTATCAAAACTACTACACACAACCTTCGTCAACGCAAGCATAACTATCAAGTCGCCACTTAATCATCATATCAGGAAAAGGCCTTCTTAACAAGACACCTTAAACATATTAGCACTCAATAAAACTTATTAATTCATACGATCTAGTTTTTAATTATCGATCGCCTCACTAACTCACTAAGTCATTATCTAGTAGTCCATTAACAAATTACTTTATTTATAGGCCTCTTTATAACATTACTTTATTTTATTTTCAATACTTTTCATGTTTAAACATTTTCATCTTCTTTTTTTAATTACTTATTCATTTATTTTTTTCGTTCCAGTTTTATACTACTGCCTTGCATGCTGTAACTTGTTACAGTTTCTTCGTCTGTCAGATCCTGATTTTTTAAAGAAAAAAAAGAAACTTACGAACGTCGTTGCGTGTCTTTGTTTACGTTTTTGAAGGAACTCTGTTTGGAATTCCCGTGGTCGATTTTGTTAGTTGAACGCCGATAGTTTATTCAGTTGTGTCACTGTATTTATTATGGAAGAATTTGAAGAAGGTGATTTTTATGTTGAGTTTGATTTGAACAAAACGTTAAAGGAGACCGGTTAAAACTTTTTTTTAAGATTATTTATAGAATTAGATTAGTTATTTATTTGTTATTTTATTATTTAATATATTTGTTTTTATAAAAAACCTTATTTAAATTTATTTATCAATTATTATAAAATTTGTAATATAAATTATTTATTAATAATTTATTTATAATATAAATGATTATACAAATATAATAATAGTAGTAGTAGAGAGAGAGAGATTAGGATTAGTGTCTGCATTGCAATTGAAAACACATTATAAATGTGAGAGATAAGTACGAAAGAGTGAGTGCACTTTCGTTTAGGACTTTGGTTATGTTATAAAAGTGAGTGCACTAAAGCACGACCAATAAGACTGGTGAGATAAGTTATAAAGTGAGTGCACATAAACAACGACCACTGAGATAGTGAGTGTAATCTGTAGTGAAGTAACATAATATAAGATATGTAAAA